TGTCACACAGGTGACAAGCATGGGGTTTGACTGCAGAAAAAAACATTCATGTTGAAGCTTTGAAGGTGAATCTTCCAATGGCAAGAAACGGGTAAAATCGTTTGATTTATAACTACTCATTTCACTGCTTAGCTGCTTATTTCCTGCTCTTTTGATTACTCATTTACTCATTTCACTGGTCATCTGCTCATTTCCTGCTCATTTTATTGTTCAGTAAATGGGCAATAAAATGAAAGAATCAAAAGAGAAGGAAATGAGTAGCTGAGAAACAAAATGAGTAAAACGAGTCCGTCATTGCTGTTTTGCTTAATGCGCTCAGATTATTTTGCCATGATTTTGATTGAAAGGGGAGTGTTGTGCTGAAAACAAGGTTAAATCTTGTCAGTATTTAAGGATCTGATCTTCAGAGAATGGTTGACATTTAAAAAGGGGATATTTCCATAAAATAGAGTCTAATTGCCTGTCTCGTCTCCTTCCTAAATGTCAATTGCATTTGCATGAGTCGAGAAGAATTGTGTTCCATTAATCGCTATATGCTGTTTACGGCCATCACAATTAACTATTAATATATTGGCAATATGTCGTACTTGTTAATCACTAAAATATTCAAGTAAATTGCCCAGCAAAGTAACCGATGCGGGCGATACGCTGGCACGGTACAAAACACAGAGAGGCGTGCGCACTGAGCCATGAATCCTAAAAGTACATCTCGCCCACCACATTCAGTTTGTTACAGCGCCCTTCTATTGTGTCGGCCATATTCTCAAATAGGCTAATGACGATGATGACGGCGGGCACATTAACAGAAGATATAGGCCCTATTAGGCAAATGTGGTTCATCGATCTTCTATAGTACATGTTATGGTATTGACATTAAACAAAAATAAAGTGACATTACATTTCAGCCTTAGCCAGGCCTTCTTCAGAGGTAAATGACAGAGGAACAAGAAACAAACATGTAGGGGACACACAAACATGCAGGGTTGGCAGGAGAATCACAAAGAGGGATGGGGGCAGACCAATCCATATCTGGCTACCAGGCAATTAGACTCTATTTTATGTGTGACCATGGCAGTAGCTCAATTTGTGTTTATCACAGATGAAAAGATGAATACATGGCGAGTAAAAAAGAAAGTGACCGTATGATAAAAAATAAAAAAGGCAGGCTCCATTTTGTAACAAATATAATTGGGATAAAGAACATGTTATTGAGTAGTGACTGTAAAAATTTCACGAAATTTGCATACTCTATTCCCAAGTCGTGTCTATTTTAATAAAGAGATAACAAAATTCAGCTGTCCACCACTAATACCAATTTAACGGTCTACGAATTGATGAATATCCATTAATAAAGTGAACAAGATCCGAGCCTGCGACCTCAAAAAACGGAACTGAACAAGATCTGAGCCTGCTTCCTCCAAAAAACGGAACTGAACAACAGTGTTGCAGTTGAGACCGGATAGTCCGAGACCGAGACCAAGAACGAGACCTGAAGTTGCGAGACCGAGACCGAGACCGAAACCAACCCCTTCAAGGCGGACCGAGACCGAGACCGAAATGGTCCGAGACCGAGACCGAGACCGCGGATAATAAATAGCAATAATCTAAATATAAAACAAGACACTAATTAGAGCTGAACAGTCCGTCCTTGAGATGATGATGTTGATGGGGATGTGAAGGAGGTGATTGAAAGCTAGGAATCACTTGTGCCTGCTTAATTGTGTCATGCGAGTGCTCTTCATGTTTGCTTCATACCATAAATTACAATATGGCAACAGAATTTGTTATTATCACCAACAATTTAAAAAAAAATGGAAAGAACCCAAGTTATTAAGAAGGGGAAAACCTAATTTGATGAACTTTATATATTGTTGCCACTTTTGTGTGTGTGTGTTAAATTTCAGTCATGGAATATAGACTTGTTCATGTAGACCCAAAAATGTGAGGTGGTAGCCAGATATGGATTGGTCCGCCCCCATCCCTCTTTGTGATTCTCCTTCCAACCCTGCATGTTTGTGTGTCCCCTACATGTTTGTGTCTTGTTCCTTTGTCATTTACCTCTGAAGAAGGCCTGGCTAAGGCTGAAATGTAATGCCACTTTATTTTTGTTTAATGTCAATACCATTACATGTACTATAGAAGATCGATGAACCATATTTGCCTAATAGGGCCTATATCTTCTGTTAATGTGCCCGCCGTCATCATCGTCATTAGCCTATTTGAGAATATGGCCGACACAACAGAAAGGCGCTGTAACAAACTGAATGTGGTGGGCGAGATGTACTTTTAGGATTCATGGCTCAGTGCGCACGCCTCTCTGTGTTTTGTACCGTGCCATCGTATCACCCGCATCGGTTACTTTGCTGGGCAATTTACTTGAATATTTTAGTGATTAACAAGTACGACATATTGCCAATATATTAATAATTTATTGTGATGGCCGTAAACAGCATATAGTGATTAATGGAACACAATTCTTCTCGACTCATGCAAATGCAATTGACATTTAGGAAGGAGACGAATGCAGGCAATTAGACTCTATTTTATGTGTGACTTTGGCAGTAGCTCAATTTGTGTTTATCACAGATGAAAAGATGAATACATTGCGAGTCAAAAAGAAAGTGACCGTATGATAAAAAAAAAAAAGAAATGGCACGCTCGATTTTGTAAAAATATATAATTGGGATAAAGAACATTTTATTGAGTAGTAACTGTGAAAATTTCACGTAATTTGCATACTCTATTCCCAAGTCGTGTCTATTTTAATAAAGAGATAACAAAATTAAGCTGTCCACCACTAATACCAACGTAAAAAACGGAACTGAACAAGATCTGAGCTTGCGACCTCAAAAAATATACCGAACTGAACAAGATCTGAGCCTGCGACCTAATAAACGGAACTGAACAAGATCTGAGCCTGCGACCTAAAAAAAAAAGGAACTGAACAAGATCTGAGCCCATTGATGCCCATGTGCTTTCCAGAATCTCACTGGTTGCATTTGACGCTAAAGCATCAGCCATTGTTTTCACTAGTTTTGTCCTAAATCAGCGGCGTTAATATTGTTTCATTGGAGCCGGAACCTGAAACAGACAATTGCTGACAAGTCTCCGCATGATCAACTGTCTAATTCATTATATTATAGTGCTCCACTGTTCCATCTAGGAGCCAGTAAAATAGGTGGTTTTTGTGAGTGTTCTCAATTATAAGCCTAATTTAATTGCGACTGGTATAATACCCGCAATCCCGAGACTGGCAATTGCAAGGCGACATAAACGGCACCAAGCTATTTTTCAGATCTGCTGAAATTCGCTTCATTTTTGTACAAGGACACGGTTTTAATTAACCCCTTAAGGACGGGGTGTAATGGGGACATTCCTCCACACATAGAGCAAGTGGCCCGCATGACAGCACAGCCTTTGTGTGGTAGCGGGACTGCACAAAAGCAGAAGCTGTGGAACTACCCACTAGCCGTGTGCCACGGCATACCACAGCTGGCAACTGCATTCCAATGAGGATTAGCGGCCGCGGCCATGACCGCTTCCCGTACGCATGGGGTTTCAATTCAAAGTAAAACACAAACCTTAGATCATTAATGAAGTCGGCTACACCTAGCCCTTTTGAAAATCATGTAATGGGCTTTTACGAGTAAAAGGACTGATGTAAATTAGTTTGAACGGAAAATGAAGAGATTTGAAAGAAATCGAGTTTTGCACAACAAAATCTTACGTGATTGACAATGCGTATTTTGTTACTGCTGAAAATCAAATAAAATTGGAATTGTTAATTGATTGATTTTTGAAGAGCACTGTGGTGATATTCTTTGATGTCTCTTTTGTCAAATTTGTACAAAAACTATGACAATGAATCGTTCTATCATTATCTTTCGTCAGTCACGATGTCTTTACATTCGCAAACTACCATCACAAACATGTCTGCTGCCACCAATAGGTTAAATATGCCTATGATTTTCGGCAAAACATCACAGACTCAATGAATACGTTTAAAGTTTTGGCTGGAAGCCTGTTTTTGTTAAGCACATATTTTCAGTGCTAAGCAAATTTCCGTATTTTCCTTAAGCTCAGAAGCTTTGTTTTATTCTACACAACTAAAGTGAGTTCTAAGCATAAATATATGTGTCCATAACAATGTTTAAGCCACGTTACAACTTCAACAACAAATATGAAAGTATCTTCTTTTAGTTGATCTCTCAGTGCTATTGTCGACTTTCACCCCGGCCAAAAAAAAAATGTTTTGAAATTGCTTTTTTTTTTTCATTTTTCTAGCAATACAAACATAATTCACTTTGGAATGAGACATCAAGAAAAAATTCATCCACGTTTAGTTATGAAATAGTTATTTATAAAATTTCAAATTATATGAGGCCCGACAATACATCGTCCAAAATAGAAAACAAATAGCTTTTTTTCCGTTTAAATAAAACATAGAAATTGAATAAAACATATAAATTCATGAGGAGAAAAAAACACATTGAATGTGTTGAAGGGCACTTACACGTTCCATGGGTATATGGAACGTACTAGGCTTTCAATATATCACTACAAAATAAGATATGACCGCAAAATTGAGTAATTTGATAGCTTAGTGTTTCCATGTCGGAACGCACAGAAAAGCGCTTTAAAATCATTTTACATAAAATACACAAGTTTTCTTCCATTCAACTTAAGAGCTACAATAAACACTGTTGTGATGTCTATACAAACATGAATGTTCATGTGTAGTATTGTAAGGATAAGTAAGCACATGCACATTCGGGGCCCTTTATGATGCAGAAAAAACTTGCCAAACAAGCACAATCATGTTAAAACATTCCGCAAATTTGAAAAAAAATGATGTAACTCAGACAAATGTTCGACGAAACGGAACACAGATTACAGTTCAAATGTTCAAACTCAGTTACAGTTCAAACTCTGACAAATGTTTGGTTTGATACTTTTAATCAGACAAAATTAGGTTGGGAAAAAAATGAACTAAGCTGGATTTGAGTATTCCGATTATCAATATCTTTGTACAGTTATGCTTCACGTATTTTCATGCCGCAGGTTTTCAAGGAGTAATCTCTAAGTTTCCAATGAAACCAATGGACTCCCCAGTCAGCACCCGGTTTTTGTTGATCTGGGTAATAGATACCATTTAAGTGAGACCTCATACAGTCCGTAGCACGCGCTCCATCAAACCACCAGGCTCCTCTGTGGTAATCTGCACAGTTGTACGGCCAGTTATCGTTGTCTTTATCCTTTGTTGTAAAAGCCAGACCCTTGCTGTAGGCAAGAGAGTCGCCAGCGGTGCTGTTCATATTGTAAAAGTCATAATTCAGACGGTACTCACCAGGAGATAGTTTGAAATCGGAGTACTTTGCCCAAACTGTGTTGTCCTCCCAGTCCCCTAAATCAACTCGCAGCTCCCATGTTCCTTGTGAATCATCAGACGTCAGAGTCACCAAGTTGTCGTTGCCCAACCAGAACTCACCGGACAGATCGCCAAAGCCAGACTGGTACTCGTCCCAGTTACGCCAGAAGTCCACGCTGCCATCTTGTCGCCTCTGAAACACGATCCATCCCCCGCCGTCAGTTTTCATGTCACAGTAGACACGAAGACCGCCATTGCTGAACCCCTCTGGGTAGATTGTGTAGATACCGCTCGAACGATAACAGCCATCTAAGAGCCTTTTGCAACTTTGGTAGTAACCAAATGAGCCATCAGCCAGTGAGTAGAGAGGTGTGTCCTCATCTGCATCAAAGTACACACTCCCTTGAGTTGCACTGAAGTCTTCGGGATGCTCACGTCGTGTGGCAAGGTTCAACTCGCACTTGTTGTTGCAGTCGTTGTAGTTGAACGACTTGCAACGTTCATCCATGCTGCATTCTCGTCCACAGATGACGCGAGATCGCACTGTTTTATTGGCATAAGCAAAATGTTCCAGTGTGCGATTTTTTGCGGCATAAAACGCATATTGCTGAGTTGCGAATGGGTTACTACATCGAAGCCCAGCAATGACAGCTGTCAGAAATGTTAGAAATAAAATAGGGAGCAGTTTCATACCAACGTTTTCTGTTGCCATTGGATCTCCGTCGTCTGAAAGCTTTATACAGTAGTTGATCTATGATGATCTAGTGGGAACGTTTGTCTCTTGAAGGAGCCAGCACTAAATAATTTTGTCAACATAGTATTTTCGCCTTGATTATCAAAACATACACATGTAGCTGCGATCTTGAGCAAAGACGTATTTATCAGGAGGCAGCAAAACAAATGTAGAAGGGTGTGCTTCCGTAAACCATAACATATAAAGTGTCGTTCGCCTGGCAGATCGTAACCTGTAAAATAGTCAGAGCTTGCATACCGTGGGCCGACGTATCCCTGACGTAGCCCGACGCATATATCTAATTGTGACGTGCATGCCCTTTTTCGCTGGTTTGTAATTATTTTGAGCAGCGTCTTTCTTGTCACCTCGGCTTTTGATTGGATGAGGCTGATCCAAGTAGACGTACAACAAGCATACGCTTTGTTACCTAGGCAATCGTGCTGTTGCCAGGAAAACTGAAAAATTGATGCCCAAATGCAAACCTACATGCAATGGACCGTTGCTAATAGCCTCATGCCAGAATTTAATCGGTCATCCGTTCAACGGTGATACTGCGGCAGGTCCATAAACACAAGCTTTTTGATAGAGCCTGGGGAGACATGCATTATAGACAGGAAAATAAAAAAAAAGCACGACGTACATCATTCATCAATACGTGATCATCAATTCGTAATCATTGCAGAGAATTAAAGTGGAACGTCATCAATGAAGGATAAAACTCAAAATATGAACATTTTGCCAAGGCATTATGCCAAGGCAACAGTTTGTATTCAAGAAGGACATTCACTGAACTACTTCGGTCAAGTTCGGTGTACCGACATTCCGGGTCAGATGGTGTGTCCCTTGTTTTTCTATGCTAATTAATCTTAAATAATTATGTTATGTTTGTGCTCTTGAACGAATTCGATATTGCTTCCTTTTGACGTTTTTTTCCCAACGCGTATGCCCGTGTTAACGAGAAAGATATACTCCCCCACCCCACCCTCATTTTGGACGTATGAAACATAATGCTTGTTTTGTAGCTTGAAGCTCGTAACGACATTACGGACACACTCTTGAAAAAATGTGGTCCGGCAGCTTTTTTTATATAAAAACCTCGTTGGCTCGGGGTTTTGTACGTAACCTTATCAGTCAGCCGATCACGCTCAATTGAGTGTGTCTCTAATGGCTGATGGGCTTTTAAAAAGAACTTTTGCAAATGGAAAAGGCACTTTGGAAACATACAATCAGTTTGAATATGCTTCATGAATTTCTAAATAAACGAGCACATTTTTTAAACAGTATTTAATTACTATTATTTTTCGGTGTGGTGGTGGTGGTGGTGGGGGGGGGGTGGTGGTGGGGGGGGGGGGGGGGCTAGACAGAAGATATATCAGAATAGCGCAATAAGAAGGACAGCGGGCGCAATTATTTTGATTAGGGTTTCAACAATTTCTACGCGAGTCGTTCATTTGCATAAAAAGTGCCCCCACAATTTTTTGTAAAAAACGAGACCGTCTAGTTTAAAAATCGGTGGAATCGTGCGAATATAGCCGAGGATCATCTCCCTAGCTTTTGGGCTATTATCTAAGAGCAGATTTGATAAAATTAGGGTCCAAAAATGGGTCCTATTTGCACGAGAAAATGTAGGGATGCCACTGGTAACTTTGGTAGTATGCAGGCTCAGCATTACCGGCAGGCTTCAAGGATTCTCCTACTGGCTGTGAATGACGGTATACACTAACGTGCGCATAGGCCTGTAATTGATTTTCCCAATGCCCTTGACCATACGCATCAAGATATTGCGCACGTGCTGGCAATTATGGTAGTTTAACTGTTACCCGACCACCTTTTGTATGCGGTAAGTTTTAATGGTAGTTTTGTAGGTATTGCACTGAGGGATTGTAGCAAGCAATTAGATCCAAGTGAAATTACATTTCTGAGAATATTTTTGATGAAGTTGGACCGGAATGTTGTTTTATTGTGCAGTTGGGTTGATGAAACATTTGAAAATGTGAGAACGTGTCTCGGACGCTGGATTCATGCCCAAATCAAAACATGATTAGGCAACATTTGTTTTGAAATCGAGACCCTAGAATGTTGTTTCTCTCGAAATTGCAGCTGAAGCTAAGCTGAAACTTCATCAGATTGGTTGTTCAGCATCCTTCTTCGGATATTGAGCACTTTTGTTACTTCAAACGAACAAAATGCACAAATTACAAATGACTATACCTTTAATTTGATGTAGGCCTAAGCGTCTTTACCACCTTGGAGTTATGAGCATTTTCCTCGATGTTTTGAAGAGGGAGTTTTGTTTATCATTGGTGCCTATGGGGTTGATTTTATTGCACCCCTACATGCGTATGGGGGAGTCAACGTTCGGATGTCACTAGCAATTAGTCTGCTTCCCAGACCAAAAAGATTGTGACTATTCCTGATGAATCTATTGAAGTCAGGTAGCCGACAGTAATACAGTGTATTTATAAACAAATATACGTCACGTGACTAAAACGGGAGGAATTCCTCCTTTTTCCGAAAATGTCCGAAGTTTGCCGGAGTTAATTTCGTCGACAGTCGAACAGCGCCCGAGTGTTTCTGAGTACAATATAGGTTTGAATAACTGCTAATTGCTTGTTAAAAACTTGTTAAAAAAAATTGGTTGATTATTACAATTCGTTGCTTTCATTTAGAAATCTTGAAATTCAACGACGATTTTGTGCATCAAGTACACTCGGATCGTATACGAGGGACGACCGTTACCGGAATTTTCCGAAACTCGGCGTGGTCTCCGATCGGCTCCGCCTGCTAACAGTGCTATTTTGGTGCCTAATTTTGAAGATTCCAGGTCAACATTAGTCAATGTTTTCTAAAGATATATCAAACTGTATTATCATAACTGTAAGATATTATGCAGCAAGTAATTATTTAATCGGAACATTTAAACCTATATAAGTGATAAAGCGAATTCGGAAACGAAGCCGAGCTTTGAGAAAGGGCCGTCAATTTCGTCATGTTTACTTTTTTGCCACGGAGGCTGCCTGACCTACAATTTAGACGTGAGCGTCGGGAATATTGTCAGGTCTGGGAACCAGACTAACTTGCGATCTATGCCTAGACTGAGTGAATACTATTGATTACATCAAGTAACGAGTTGGCATGCATGCCTAAGATCAAAGCTGACACACACATAGCCTATGCGGCATGAATAGGGGGTCCCCGATTGCAGGCAAATACACACTTGTGTGCACACCCACGCTTACATAGGCATGGAAGTGGGGTACTTCCTTTGTTCTCGTGTACTAAACTAATTTCAGAATACTCTTATTTTAACCCGAATTAATTTCCTGGGCTGAAATTCGGACTTAATATCCCTTTTCTAAAACTCTTCCATTTGCGACGGATCAACCCACCTTGGAAATTCCTAGTTTTTGAGTAAAATCCAAATATCTATTTTGTGAAAAACTTGTGGGGTACCAAAAACGGTACCCCGCAAGTCGGTGGGCATTCCTTGTGGGGTACCTCCCATTGTTCCGGTACCCCACAAGGCAGTGTTTGTACACGCACACCCGCGTGTACGACTGGAATTCTGCATACGATATCCCTACGCACATGTAGGCCTATCAATCCTGCTCGCACACGGCAATAATAGCCTATTCAATAAATGTATTGATTATAATACTGATTTTTATTATTATTAATTTATATTGATTATATATTGATTTTTAATAGTAAAAAAACTTCACATGATTCTATGAGAGCTGAATTTTTACGTGAACCCAGTAATTAGAATTAATCCTCCTGTATAAATTAGTTAATTAGTGAAAATTAATTATTAAAGATATGTGGCTCTTCGTGAAAACGCAAAACTCAGTTTTCGAGATATCTGCCCCTTGCATCATGAATGTTATTTGGAAAATAGTGATGAAATGCTTACAGAAACATGTCAAAAAGTATTGTTTTAGCGCAAAAAAGTGGAAAACAAATCAAAATCGAAAAAAATGGTAATTTTTGACATAATATGTGGCTGTTTGTGATAAGGTGACGATATAAAAGGTCACGTTTAAAAAAACTTTAAATGAAACCTCAAGGATTTAATCACTTACGAACTAGGCTAAATCTAGGCTTATAGCTTTTTTTGAAAAACATATTATTGGGGTTTTTTTTTAAGAAGAAGAAGAAAAAGAAATTGTGTATTCTGGTTTGAAAGGGAAATGAAAATAGATTTCAAAGAAAAAGTTTAGCACAACAAAACAACACGTTTTTCATAACTGATGTTTAAGTTCATTTTTTAAGAAGCGTTGTTTGATGTCTCTTTTTGTCATAATATCATCGGTACAAGAACTATGTCAATGAATCGCTTGAGTTGTACAGTTTCATATCCCTCGTCGGACATAATGCGACACTGAATAATCGGAAACCGCAGGCGACCACAAACATGTCTGCTGCCACCAATACTCAAAGTGACTTATTTTCGACATAATGCACTGATAAACGTTGAATATTTTTTTTCTAATTACAGCAAAAATGTTATAACCGAAATTCCGCACTGCACTTTGCTCCAACGTACACCTGCGAAGTACATGAGTCCATCTTATTTCATCTTCTTTTTTTCATGACAAAAAAATACGCATTTACGGTTCCGTTACATTGTACCTTTTTGATGATAATCTTTGTGTACATTTTATATCATGTGCTTAATTTAAATATGTCGCTTTCTGATGTAGCATTTACAAACACTGCCGGTTTGTTTTCGTGCACTGAGTAGCTCAGCAGGAAATACTGCTCAGCAAGGTTGTGTCCCGCAATCAAAGAGAAACGTGGAACTCATTTGAAATCCATCATAATACAGGTTTACGTTTAGAGTTTCGGCAGATAGTCTGTTTTTGTTATTTGGCACAGAAGGGTTTGCAGTTCAACACTTATCAGAAACAACTTTAGGCCTACACAAGCTATTATCGAAAATGTAATAACTAATCCGCTTAAGTGTATGAAAACTAATTGAGATTCATTTCGTTGAAAAGTGCACTTCTTTAAACATTTAAATGTATCCATGCTTTTCCGGACAGCTGAGGGCGCTGATTTCAGGGAGACACTGTTCATATTAGGTGTTTTTCCGTTGAAAATGGTGAACCAAAGAAAATGCTCATTGAAAACATTTGTGAGAAAAGTTTGCTCATAGGCTTACTGCCATGAACTGACATAACATCGAATCACTAATGAAAAGAAAGTTTACGACAGCGAAATATCCACAAATTTG